GGGGGGGTGCGGTGGTGGTGTGTTACAAGTTCAAACTCAGGGCTCCGCAGTCCCTGGGGGAGCACCCTTCCTCGACTATCATCACTTCTGGTGGCCTCCCGCATACCTTGGCTCCTGGCCCCATCATTCCAGTCTCTGCCTCCTCCTCCTCTCTCCCCAAGTCTCTTCCCCTCTTCTTTCAACATCTGGGCCTCTTGGATCAAGGCCCGCCCACGGCAGTGGGACCCCCCATGACCCCCCCCATGACCTGGACACGTGCCATCTGCACAGACCGTTTGCAATAGGATGGTGTTCGCAGGTTTGGGTGAGGGCAGGACATCCACATTTTTATTTATTGGGGGGGGGCGGTGGAGGGGAGTTGAGGAACACCGAGTGAAAGGACCCGCCTTTTCTAGAACTAGTCTGCTATGAGCTTAAACACCCGAAGTGGACCGAGGAGTTTGAAGGGCAGAGAGCTCTGTGGTTATTGATGTTCGGCTCAAGTCGATTCAGCCCCACATGCACAACAGAACGCACAGCAGAAGGAAATGTCCCCGGGCCTGCGCTGCCCACTGTGGTTCCTGTGCCCATGACCATTGCTGTGGCCACTGTGGCCATCCACCTCCTCTTTGTCACCGCCCCTCCACTTGACCAAGCACGATGTCTTTCCCCAGGGACGGGCCGCTCCTGACAACGTGTCCAAGGTACGTGAGACGAAGTCTCGCCATCCTTGCCTCTAAGAAGTGCTCTGGCTGGACTTCTTCCAAGACAGATGGGTTTGTCTGTCTCTTGGCAGTTCATGCCAATATTCTTCCAATTTAAACACGCGGAGTTTTCTTTGGTCTCCCTCATTCCATGTCCAACTTCCCCCTGCACAGGAGGCAACTGAAAATACTCTGAGTCAGGCACCCCTTAGTCCTCACAGTAACTGTAACTCCCCTACTTCTCAATACCCAAAGAGGTTGACCTTCCGCAACGCGTCTTTTGATCTCTTGGCGGCCGCTTCCAGAAGCGTTGATGGTGATCCCACCGAGGCAAAGTGGAAGCGGTGGATTCTCCAAGCCGGAAGTGACTTTGCAGAGGAGTGAACCAGCCGTCTCATTTTACAGAAGAGAAAACCAAGATTCAGAGCAGACCACAGCCGGCCCCAGCATCGTGCACAAGCCTGGCTCACAGACTTCTCAGGAGATGGGCCAAAGGCTGGGTGGGGGCTGGAGCCTAGGCTGGCCACACGGGGCTTCTGCCCAGACTCAGCACCTGCTTTGGGCACATGCCCAGAATGGGGCACCTCCCCCCAGCTCCAGCTGGCAAGACCCCACCCTGTGCCTGCTGCCAGAGTTACTCCTATGGCCATCTTGCCCCCCTCCTCCCTTTGAGAACTGAGGGGGTGGCGGAGGTGGGTCAGAGAGGCGGCATGCTGGGGAGCAGGCACTGGCCCAGCTCTGAGAGCAGCTGGTTTACCACTCACCCAAGCCTCCTGGAGAAGCCAGAAGCTCCCCACCAATTTCAGAGTCTGCAAGACAAAGGGGGACAGAGGGCTCTGGGCCTCACCTTGGCCACAGCCGGTGGATCCCACCATAGAGACCTGCCTTTGATGTTCTATGTGGCCTTAGACAAGTGGCTTGGCCTCTCTGGGCCTGTCTCCTTAGCTTTCAAAACACAAATAACAGTGCTTCCCTCCCCCCCACCCCTCCCCAGGTTGGGTGGTTATCAGTGATTCTATCTCAAGTACAGGGAACCTGGGACGTTCGTGCCCAAACCAAGCCTCCAACCACTGGCAAGCAGAACTGCCCAGGGGTTCCAGGACTGTCATCTCTCCCGACCGCTGACTACCACGTCTTTCTCCTGAGGAAGGGCTGTTGGGTTTGAACCAGGCACCTTCCTGTTAACAGCAGAGCGCTTCAGCCACTGTGCAACCCGGTCTCTTTGGGACTCAGTAAGCACTCAATCAGTAGGGTTATTGCTACCCCCACTTATCAACACGGCTAGGTTCCCAAGACCAGATCCTGTGAAACTTGGCATGATGTGAAAATGGAGGATGACCACATCATCCCCTAACTGCCCAATGACATCATTCCCTAACTGCCCAATGACATCATTCCCTAACTGCCCAATGACATCATTCCCTAACTGCCCAACCCCTGAGAACCATGGTCCCGCCGAGTAATCACAGCCAGCATCATGCTTGCCTTGCGCCTCGGAGTTTGTCACTGACAGACACACCTTGCGTAGGCACAAATATTTTGCTAGCAGAATTTCTACTCTTGACATCAATGCACATTGTCCGGTAGTAAGCTCGTTGATGGATGAGGAGTAGGTGTTTCCAGGGTAAGAATGACTCAGCAA